CTGCGAGAGGGCCTGGTGGTAGGAGATGACGTCCGTGGGCCTGCGCGCGGGCGTCGGGCTCCCGCCGCGCGGGCGGGGGTTGACCACCAGGTGGCAACAACCGAACCCGACCCCCACCAACCATCCTTTCTCCTGCATCGATGGGAGGCGGGGGTGGGGTTCGGATTCCGCCACCTGTGCGACCCGTTCCGAACCCCACCCCCACCGCCCATCGAGTTGCCTTCATCGTTGATCGGCGAGGGCAGGGGTCGGACTTCGCCGCCGAGCCAGAAAGGAAAAACGAACTTCACAGACAGCAGCTTTCGGCGGTCCGCGCGGACATCCCTCGGCGGCTTAAAAACGAGCGACGGAAAGCAACGAGTCCTACGAGAGAAGACATTGCGGCCTCACGCCGCGGCTTCCGCGGGCCGCCCGCGCTGCACACCGCGCAGAGGAGAGGGCGCTTACACGCAGCCCTACGTGGGAAACCTACGCGTTCGATCGGTCGACCCAATTCTCTTCCGTGGCTCAGAGGGGTACCCGAGGGATGGGGCCGCAAAAGCGGGTGGCCTCAAACAGTGATGGTTCGGCAGGGCCCCATCCCTGGGGGCCCCATCTGCAAACCACCGATTCCTGGATCGGCGCCGGGCCCCACCAAGCGGCGCCTCCAGCGCCGCCCCTGGCGCGCCGGAGGCGCGCGAGGGAGGGGAGGGGGCCCAGCGCCGAGCCAAGAGATCCGCGCCTCCGCACGGGCATGTCGACGCCGTTTCTTCTGGAGGGGGCTCGAGGCTCGAGGACCGAGTCTTCTCCGGGGGCGCCCGATCGTGGCCCGGCGCACGTGCGCGGTCCAGGGGAGGGGGCAAGGGGACGTGTTGAGAGGAGGAGAGGCGGGCATGAGATCTGGAGAGACACCGTCGCCCTGGCCACGACTTCCACGTCCCCTCGACCTCACCCTCCTCTTGCGCCCCCGACCCCCGGGGACCTCCACGGGCCCCGGAACGCGTCGAAACAACGGCCCTGGACGAGCCCCCAGGGGGTCCCTGGCCCCTCGGGCCACGCAGCGACAAATGGCGGCGGTCCTGCGAACTCTTCGGAGCGCCATTGCTCCGAAGCGCCCTCTGCCGAGACCGAGCACACGACTCGTGTGCGGCGCCAAGCCCGTCACCACGGCTTCTGGGACACGGCCAGCGGCCCGCTAAGCAAGCTGCACTCGGAGGTTGCAAACTTGGAGCCCGATCTTCCCACCCCCGGGGTCTCAGATCCGGGGAGATGCCATGGCCCTGGCCACGGTGTCCGCTGCCCGATGCCATGGCCCTGACCTCGCCCCCTCCTTGGCCGCCCCCTGGCTCCCTGGCTCCGGTCGGCACGCCGCCCCCCCAGAGCAACGACGCCGTGGTCTTCCGGCCTGGGCCCCCCAAGACCTGTGGAGCCCCTCCCCAGGACCGGCCCTTTGTCCCGCGCGCACCGTCTTGTGGTGGCCCCAGGGGCCCCCGAAGGCCCCCGCGGGCCGAAGCACTGCCGCCGTCCTCCCTGAAATCCGATGTTGCGAACCACCTGCAGAGTTCACTGAATCCCGAAGAAAACGACCTGCAGCCCTTGGACAAATATGTTTCCGCCTTTTCGAGCCCGATCAATCCGTGGTGGTCCCAGGGCCCGAAAGGGCGAAAACGCCCTGCGTGAAGAAAATGCAACGCCGTCCGTCGTCGCCGAAACGTCCATCATCCGTCGTTCGTCGTGGTCGTCGTCTGCCGTCGTCGTCTGTCATCGTCGTCCGTCGTCGTCGTCGTCGTCGTCGTCGTCGTCGTCCGTCGGCGGTATCGTCGTCTTTCGTCGTCGTCGTCAAGCGTCGTCGCCCGTCGTCCGTAATCGTCGTCAACCGTCCTCCTTTGTCGACCGTCGTCATCGTCCGTCGTCGTCGTCGTCTGGTCGACCGTCAACCGCTGTCGTCGAATCGTCCATCGTCCGTTTTCGGCGTCTTCCGTCGTCCGTCATCGTCCGTCGTCCGTCATCCATCGTCCGTAAGTCGTGCCACTTCTGGCGAGGGGGCTGGCAAAAGGGGACCTCACCGGCACCAGCGGGGCGTAGAGAGCCAGCGGCTCGTCCTCGGCGGCGCACGCGCGCGGCGAGGGGCCGGCTGCGCGGCGGAGGCCGACTTGCTGGGGAGGGCAAACAATACACACCTGCACCGGTGCTGGCAAGGCCCGTCCTTGGCCCAGGATCGGTGCGCATGCCAGGGCACCCTGAGGGCCAGGCGCTACATGCATACCTCCACACACATATACGTATATAGGAGCATGAATACATGCACACCTACCTACCTACCTACCTACCTACCTACCTACCTACCTACAGACAGACAGACAGACAGACAGACAGACAGACAGACAGACAGACAGACAGACAGACAGACAGACAGACAAGCATGCGTACGTACGTACATGCATACAAACATACGTGCATACACACATACATAAATACATACATACATACATGCATGCATGCATGCATGCATGTATGCATACAAACATACATACATACATACATACATGCATGAATGCATGCATGCATGCATGCATACATGCATGCATTCATACCTACATAAAAGCAGACTTGCATGTATACATGCATGCATGCATGCATGCATACATACATATATACACATACATATCTGCATGCAGACGTACATACGTACATACATACATACATGCATGCATACATACATACATACATACATACATAAATGTAGGCAAACATACAATCTTACATGCATGCATACATACACGCCCATAACGGCATGTATACATACATACGTGCATACGCATACATACATACATACATACATGCATACATACATACATACGTACAAACCGTCACACATACATACATACACACGTACGTATATATGCATACATACATACATGCATACACACATACACACGTACATACATACGCATACCAGACATGCGTATACACACATGCATACATACATGCATGCATGCATGCATGTATGTAATTATACACAGTCAGACATGCAAATAAACAAACACACAACACTACACATATGTATGTATACTTGTATACATATGTGCATGCATCCATACATGCACACCTACACATATGCATACACACCTACATACGCACATACCTATATACACGCATGCATATATGCATACATGTACGCGTACCCGCCATGCATGCAGACAGACAGACACAGACAAACGGACACACACGTAGACGAACCTAACTATATACGTACGTGCGTAGAGACGTACATACATACATACCGACAGACATGCATGCATACATACCTACTTATAGGAATACGTGCATTCATGCATGCATGCACACATACGCATATATACACACATATATAGTATATGCATGTGTATGCATACGTACGTGTAATTAGACATACATGCGCTCAGGCATACATGCCCCTTATAATATTATTTCCTGGCGCTTGGTTCGGCCTCCAAACGGCCAAGATGGCCCCCACAAGACTGCCTCCATGGCAGTGAAGGCGACACATAGACAGCCCGAGATGACCCAATACGGCTCAAGATACTCCCAAGAGAGCCTCCAGACAGCCCAAAGGGCCCCCAAGATGGCCCAAGAGGGCTCCGAGAGGCCCTCCGAGCACGAGGAGGCCAAACCCACTGCGTTGCCTGAGGTGCTCGAAGTCTTGTGCAGCCCAAGACTGTCCAACAGACCTCCAAGACAACTCCAAGAGCCCATGAGGCCCCCAAGAGGGCCCCGAGTCGGTCCAAGAGGATCCCAAGATCGCCCCAGAGGCTCCCAAGAGGGTTCCAAGACGGCCCTAAAACGCTCTAAGACGGCACCAAGAGGAGTTCCAAGAGAACCCGAGGAGGCCGAAGCGATTGATCGCCCTTAGGTCTTAACTAGAGTCCTCCTAGATGGGGTCGGAGTAGATGGGGTCGGAGGATCGCGCCACATCGCCGATGCATCGCCGATGCATCGCCGATGCACCGGCGCTGCATCGGCGACGTCGGCGATGTATCGCCGACGTCGGCGTGGAGAAAATCGGGCTCGGTATCGAGCCGCATTGTCGATGCATCGGCGATGCGGCGCGATCCTCCGACCCCATCTACTCCGACCCCATCTAGGAGGCATAGATTAACGCATGTGTAGGTTCTCGCCGAATTAAGTTTCCGACCGACGAAGACGGCCCAAGAGGACGGCAAGATCGCCCAAAAGCCTCCCCAGAGGGTCCCAAGACGGCCCTGGAGCGGTGCAAGGGGGGCACACAGACGGCCCAGAGAGGCCACCAAGACTGCCGACGAAGGCGTCGGACGGGCCAACATCATCCCCAAGACGGCCCAAGTGGCCCCAACCTCCTCCTCCTCCGCAGCAGCAGCCGCCGCCGCCGCCTCCGCCTCCGCCTCCTCCTCCTCCTCCTCCTCCTCCGCCTTCCTACCGCGCGAACGAAAACGATGTCGTGATCACGACCCTCTCCGATTTAGACCACTCGCTGAACTGCCGCGGGGAATGAACTCGACCTCCTGCCTGTCGCGCGGACGAAGCCGAAGTCAGGTTCACGGCCCGTCCTTATCAGACCAATCGTTGGGATTGTGCCGTTCCTGTACTCAGCCTCCGTCCTGCTGCGCTGCTGCACAAGCACAGTGACGGGACTTGCCGCAGTCAGCTTGGTAGTAAAGCCAATAATACACCTCTCACAGCTCCCAGTACAGCTCCGACCACAATTACTGATACAACGCTTGTCACACAGTCGATTGCAACCCTACTACAGCTGTCACTACATACAACGGCTAGTGGTACCGTTCCTACTACAGCTCAGCTACAGTGCCCACGACAACTCCCTCGGCAATCCCTAGCGCCGCCAGTAGAACAGCTCCCAGTATTACTCCTGCAACAGTTCCTTCTACAGCTCTACCCCAGCTCTTACAACGAACAGATCTTACCAGCTAACCCACACAATCCGAACGCAGCCAGCAACACAGCTCCGACTTCAGCTCCGACTACAACTCCTACAGCAGCTCCCTCAACAGTCCCCACGGCAGGGCGCACTGCAGACAGGTCTCACTACAACCCCTATCACAACTCAAACGACAACTACTTGCACACTTCCTACTGCACCTCTAGTGCCGCTCGTCTTGCAATTCCCTCGGCCATGAATAATGAAACTCCTACTAAAGTTCCCTTACACCGCTAGTCGCCAAACTCTGACTTCAACACATACTGCAGGCAGAACTACAGCTCTCACTACAACTCGTACTACAATATTTATACTTCGGCTCCTCGGCGAAAGTCCCGCTTCATCGTCAGCGAAAACCACTAGAACAGCCCCCCCTCCTCACTCGGCTCTCAGTACATACATGTTTTCCCCCAGTGTTTAATACAGCGTTCAGTACAACTCGCAATCCAGTTACTAGCATGGCAACTGTTACATACAGTAGTACGCCCCCCACGACTCTCAGTGCAACTCAGACAGCACTTGAGAATGCGGTTCCTGCTGCAACTTCGAGTACAACTATATTACAGTGTACTCAATAAGTATCAAGGCAATTCCTGCTGCAGCCTGGGATACAATTCCCGTTGCAATTACTTATACAAGTCTCCCACTGCATGTCCGACTACAACTCCTACAGCTCCTGCTACAGCTCCAACAACAGCTCCTACACAATTTCCTACCACAGCCGAATGTACACAGTTCACCATAGCAAATGCTACATGCCATGTTGCCGATTATGTTACCGCACACGAGTTATTGCAAGTCACTGAGCAGCCGGTTATGCAGTTGTCGCATATGTTCCTTCCACATGTCCTACTACAAACCCAACCACAACCAGCACTGCAGACCCCGACGCAGCTAATTTAGTTCCAAGTGTAGCCAATGGTGCAACTCTCACTACAGCTCTAGCTACCACGTAATACCGCATATACTGATTTAAATATAATGTCAGTTCCTTGTCAGTCATTAGGACAGCTCCCTTTACAGTTAGTACGGCAGGCAATATTGAAACTGCCACTACAACGTTTGCTACGGCCCCCACGTCAAGTTCCAATAGCTGGCCGCACGACAGCGTTCTTCAGTCAGTCATGCAGTACTCTCACAGCCCCTCATTCTGCAGCTCTCACCATAGTACCGACTGGAACTCTTACGCCGGTTCTTCATCCAGCTCCTGCAACAGTTCCTACGACAGCCACGAGGGCACTTGTCACTTGCACAACAACTTTGCTACAAGGCCTAATACAACTGATGGAACACGTTATCCTACAGAAACTAATGCTAACCGTAGTGTACTTCCCAATGCAGCCTGTAGTGTTTGTCATGATATTACAAAAACTTCTACGACAAACCCAATTGCAAACAGCCGTACAGACAGCTGCCAATCGAACTTTGAAGGGATCCCCCACTACAGCTCCACATACAGATCCTACTGCAGCCAGTAGTACAGTTGCCACCGCAACTTCTACTCCAAGTCATACTGCACGCGCACTGGAAGTCTTATTTAGGTTCTTCATGCAGCTCCTGCAACTACAGTACTACAGTTCCTACGACAGCCACGAGTTCACTTCAACTACAACTGCTGAGACAGGGCCTACTACAACTGATGGTACACGTTCTACAGAAACCAGTGCTGACCATAATATTGCAGTTCCCAGTGCAAGTGCAATTGCTTGTCATAATATTACCAACACTTCTACGACAAACCTAAATGCAATCAGCCGTACGGTTTCCAATCTAACTTCGAAGGAAGTCCCCACTATAGCTCCTCATGCATGCCCTACTGAAGCCAGCAGTACAACTTTCAATCCAATTCCTACCACAAGCCATATTGCATACGTATCGTAACGCACCTCCGACTACAGTTCCTGAACACTGCCAATAGCACAGCGCCCGCCCTCTACTACAGCCAGTCTTACAGCTGGTCCCACCACAACTCTTACGACTGCCCCGGCTAAAACGCCTGCAACAGGGTGTGCCACAGCTCCCACCACACCAATGAGTACAACTCTGACAACTGCTCTTCTACAGCTCCCATTACAGCTCCGACCAACCCTTACAACAACTCCTTCCAAAGCTCGTACCACTGCCTTTACAACAACTCCTATAACAGAC